ATGTCACAGAAACTATAAAACCATTCAGGGGGGAAGCCTGGGCCAGGCGCAGTCGTGGTTATGTCCGACTTCAGCCAGCCAGGTCATCCGCGATCGTGGTCCGTGAGTTCGAGCCCCGCGTCGGGCTCTGGGCTGACCACTCCAGAGCCTGAGCCTGTTTCAATTCTGTGTCCCCTCTCTGCCCCTCACCCGTTCATGCTCTGTCTCTCTGTCCCAAAAATAAATAAACGTTGAAAGAAAAAAATTTAAAAAAAAAAAAAAAGTGAAGGATGTGGTTTCTCAGGTCCTATGCTGTGCCCTGCCCTGAGAACACCTCTCTGTCCAGAGTATTTGTCCTTTGAGGCTCCTTAGGCAGCCTCCCGGAAGCCGTGGTCTTTGGGTGTGCATCTTGGTCGCTTGGTGTGCTCTGCACTGCGCTTGATAATGGGCAGTAAAGACTGGTGGGTTGGTTGAAAGAATCTGCCCGTCTGGTAACAATACTGCACGTGGGATGTGTCTAAGTAGGACAAAGACCCAGTGGAGATGAAGAAGTGAGTGGAAGGAGTTCCGGTCCAGGATTAGAGCCCCTTCCCTCTAGTCAGGGGTCAACCCCACCCACTCCCACTCCCATCTGTGGTGGGAACCCCAGGCCCCAGGCCTCCGTCCCCTAGGTTGACAGTGCCTGCAATTTCCCCAGGATGCCTGCAGAGGGGCGCCACTAGCTCGCATCTCCTGGGGACCAGTACCATTGCCCTGAGGGCTGGGGAGGGGTTCCTGCTGGGTCTCTGGGTGCTTGCTGAGCCCTCAGGTTGGGGAAGAGCTCCCAACCCTGGGAGACCTGAGGGGCCCAGCAGCTGAGGGGCCTGAAGTCAGGAGTCAAGTCTCCTGGGAGCAAGGCAAGGAGAGTTCAGAGGGAGACCAGAGTCTCCTGAGAGAACTTACCTAGTGATGGTGAGGGGATGTGTGGTATGTGGGACCTCTGGGGAGGATGACACTGTTCCAATGAGCCCTGGCTGTAAGAGAGGAGGCTGGTTGGTCCAGGAGGCCCCTCTGTCAGACCTTGACTTCCTCCTGACTGAACTGGGGTGGGAGTTGTGGCAGAGGGCCGGGTCCCAGCCCAGGAGCATAGACACCCAGGGACTCTGGTCACCTGGGAGGCACCCTGGCTTCAAGATGAGGAGTTTGGGGGGGGGGGGGGGCCAGGCTAGGGAGAAGTGGGGAGGAGCCGGAGAGCAGGGTCCAGGTCCACTGCCAGCGACCGGAGCACCTGCTGCCACCCACCGTGTAGGCACCAGTGACAGCATGTGGCTCAGGAATAATGACCCCTTCTTCGGGAACAGGTGCATTTACGAGGCCGAGGGTGCCGATCTCAGCTCTCCACCCAGCCTATCTCTGGGGTGCCTAGTTACCTAACCTACCAATTAACCCTGGCAGGGGCATTCTACCCACTAATAACCATCATTAAGTAAGAGGGCATGAGGCCACAAAGGCTTCTGCAGGCCCGAAGGTGGGAAGGGCAAAGGTGCTAACCTCTGGGGCTTGGCTCCCCCCCAGGGGCTGGAGGCCTCCGGGCTGGCGAGGCGGCCCCTGGAGGACGAGGGAAGCCAGATGTTTCCTCCTGCTCCCTCACACGTGGCCCTGGGATCCACTGCATCCTGCTGGTCCCACCACACTGGCTCAAAACAGAGTAAATACGGGGAGGGGCCTTGGATGTGTGGGGGGACAGGCCGGGGAGGACGTCCCGTGGCTCCGGCCCAGGAGGCACGGGCTTTGGGGCAGGAGGTGATGCCACCAGAGAGGAGGTTGGTGGGAAGGTGAAGCAAAAGTGCTCCCTATCTCCCCCCACCCCCAGCAGAGGCTGGACTCCTCCCTGACTGGCACCGGAGGGAGGGGACACCACAGGGTTGGACGGGGCGGTGGGGGGGGGGGGGCGCCCAGGACAGGCAGGGAGCGAGAGTCCGCGCCAGACCCTGGCTCCAGCCCTTTCCGGCCCTCATTGTCCTTGGTGAGAACAGGACACAGTCCGGTTCCCACTGCCAGGCCCCCCAGCTCTGCTCCCCAGGGGCTCGGGAAGGATGTTGGGAAACAAGAGAGAGCCAGAGACAGAGATGCTGAGAGACACAGAGACAGATACAAAGGGGAAAGGTTCAGTCAAAAGCCAGCATTGAAGTCCTTTGTGAGCAGAGAAGGCCCTGGGCCTGTGGGAACCGTAAAAGAATGAGAAGCCGGAGGCCCTGCCCCCTCGGGAAGGCCCCTCCACTCCCCTCCTTGACTTAGGGTCACTCACAGGGCCGCCTCCTAAGCAAACAATGGCCGGAACCCTCTGCCGGGCACAGTTGGTGGCACTTAATTGCTCTGCTTCAGGTACCTTTCTTTGCCTTTTCCTCAGGGGGCAGGGCCAAGATGGAGATTGTGCTCCCAAACCCTAGTTCCCCAGTCCTCCAACCCGCCCCCCGCCCCCCGGGGGGCCACACAGACTGTGCCGGGAACGCTACTTGGCTGGTGCCCCTCATCACCTGGAGTGACGGCAAAGTGTGGGGCAGCAGGGATCCCCGGAGCCAGCTGTCCCCGCTCTCTTGCCTTCGCACCCACGGGCGTGGGGTGGGGTGGGCGTCGTTCCCTCCAACCCACTCTCTTCCACCTGGGCCTGCCGTTCGACAACTACCCCCTGGGACACAGGCGCCAGAGGTGCCTCAAGATAAAGAAAAATGGAAACACGTTCGCAATGTTTACATTTAACAAATTAACACTTCTTTTTTTTAATGTTTGTTTATTTTGAGAGCGGGGGAGGGGCAGAAAGAGAGGGACAGAGAATCCCAAGTGGGCGCTGAGCTGCCAGCCCGGACCCCGGTGAGGGGCTCGAGCTCACAGACCCAGAGGTCATGACCTGAGCCCCCCAGGCGCCCCAAGAAATTAACACTTGGTAACACAAGATTACAACACAATATAATCATGCTAGGAACGATACTATCACAGGATCTTTAGAAAATTCTCCTTCACGGGGAGCTGCAGGCCCTAGTTGAGAAGGTAAAGTCCCACGGTGACGACACATTCATTGTACGGTTCTTTCTAGTTTGTGTACATTTGGAAATTCCATAATAACACGTCCAACCACCGTATGGGGAGCACCTTCCTTCCGTTCTGTCAGCGACAGGGTGACTACTGTGGCGCGCTTGGGGAGGACAGCACTAGTCTCGGTCTGAGGCCCTGTGGGGACAGACCTCAGCACACGGCCCTCGGGACCGGTGAGAGCTCTTCTCCGAGAACCCCCTCCTCCAATGAGCCGGGAGAGCAGGGAGGTCCCCGCCCAGGTGAGGGTGAGGCTGTGTGTCCAGAGGCCAGGATCCCACGGAAGAAACCTTCCACATACCCCTTCTC